TGTAATCCTAGCACTTTGGGAGGCTGAGGCAGGCAGATAACTTGAGGTCAGGAGCTCGAGACCAGCCTGACCAACATGGTGAAACCCCGTCTCTACTAAAAATACAAAAATTAGCCGGGTGTGGTGGTGCACACCTGTAATCCCAGACACTTGGGAGGCTGAGGCAGGAGAATCACTTAAACCTGGGAAGAAGAGGTTGCAGTGAGCCAAGATCGCACCATTGCATTCCAGTCTGGGCAACAAGAGTGAAACTCTGTCTCAAAAAAAAAAAAAATCTAGAATGAAAGCACCACAAACATAGGTTTCAGTCTGGCAGGGATTAAAATCTGACAGCTCCTATATGCACATATTTTGTTTGTCCTCTCAGCATTAAAATAATTTTTTTTTTTTTTTTTTTTTTTTTTTTTTGAGACAGGATCTCACTCTGTCGCTCAGGCTGGAGTGCAGTGGTGCAATCATGCCTCACTGCAACCTCCACCTCACAGGTTTAAATGATTCTCATGCCTTAGCCTCCTGAGTAACTGGGATTACAGGCATGTGGCCACCACACCCAGCTAATTTTTGTATTTTTAGTAGAAACAGGGCTTCACCATGTTGGCAAGGCTGGTCTTGAACTCCTGACCTCAGGTGATCCTCCTGCTTTGGCCTCCCAAAGTGCTGGGATTTCAGGCGTGAGCCATCGTGCCCAGCCTGAAATAATGTTTAATGAGATACTAACCTTTAAAAATAAGGACATCACAGAAAAATCCAACTTTCTAGCTCTTTTGACAAAATGGAAAGCTCTGGAAATGTTGGAATCCCATTCTATGTGACAAAGTTTAGATTGGAGTTGAGCAGATGCTGTTCTTGCTCATCTGTTCACTAAAGCCCCCTCCAGGCACAAAGCATTCATTTAGGTTCCTTCCTAGGCCCTAAAAGTATTAGACTTTGCAGTCTCTGGTAGGAGAACTCTGGGATCTGATTGGAAAGTCAGGTTGGAAAGTATGGTATGGGATATATCCATAAGGCTATGGATATCTGAATAGGAAGTTTGTACTTGATTCCTTGGGCAAGAGGAAGAATTGAACACTGTTTGCCCAGTTACTTCTGTTGTGTAACAAACCATCCCAAAACTTAGTGTTAAGACAACAGTAATTTATTTAGCTCCTGATTGTGTGAATGGGCAATTTGGACTGGGCTCTGCTTGAGTGGTTCTTCTGGTCTTGATTGTCCTCATTCATGTGTTAGCTGTCATGTTGGTTGGTTTAGTATGACTTCAGCTAGGAAAGCATGTTTCTGCTTCATGTGGTCTCTCATTCCCAGCATGCTCACTCAACATGTTCATGGCTGGGTAAGGTTGCAACAGACATTTAAAAGGCCTCTTGAAACCTAGGCTTGGAACTGGCACACAGTCACTTCTTCCACATTCTATTGATCAAATCAAGTCCCAATGCCAGCCCAGATTGAAATGGTGGGGAAAGAGACTTCATTTGTGGGTGGGAGGAGCTGCAAATTACATTGCCAAGAGGTGTGGACACCCAGAAAGATACATTTGACAAACCATCTATCAAAGTTATTGTCAGAGATATGTTTTTGGAAATATCATTTGGAGTGGGATGTGTCCTGTATGACTGGAATTATTTTCTATTTGTAACAGATAAATGCTCCCACTCCTTGCACCCATAAATAACTCAATAACAAAGGATATGAGAGAGAGAGATGTCCACTTTGTGCCTCTGCCAGCTTCTTGTCCAGGGAATCCTTGGTTTAGATTTCGATACACTACTTAGTAAAGGTGGAGAGTTTCTTTAAGATTTCTGTGGATGAATGAACAGAAAATTAGACCAGAGCAGGGAGCTGAGAGCCAAGTTAGAAACACAAAGACATTTCTACATTGCACAGTTGCTTAGAAACTGCATTCCCCCTGGTCTGGCTGGCGCCTAAACCACCATCAGCACTCATGCCTTTGTGATATAAAGTTATCTTACTTGATCAACTTTTAAAACACAAACACCTCATAGGAAGCGGTAAACTCACATCTTAGTGTGAATTAGTCTCTGGTGTTAGATTCCTTAATACTAGGAGGACTCTAGGTTGTAAGGGAGCTTGGTAGAAGAAGAAAGAAGACAGAGGAGAGAGTGAAGTGGAGGACGGCATTGTATAAATCACTGTTGGTTTCTCATCCACCCTAAAGACCAATTTTTCAGGAAGCATCATTAAGTCTGCACTTCTGCTCTGTGGTGATGAAGAGAAAGTTTCAGACAGAAACTATGATGTGACTTTGATTTTTCATTCTGAAAGGTAGGGATGTGGATGAAGGGAGAGGAGAGATGACAGATGAGACCCTCTTGGGTAGTGTGAGAGGTTTTCCCGACAGACCATCTGTGAGAAGGCCTTGAAAAATAGTCCTCATGCTAGAGACTTCTGTAAGTAGAGAGAACATTCTTGGAAGCTGCCTCAAAAGTCTGGACTCATGGCTCCTTCCTTCCTTCCTCCCTCCCTCTCTCCTTTCCTTCCTTCCTTCCTTCCTCCGAGTCTTCCTCTGTTGCCCAAGCTGGAGTGCAGTGGCGCGATCTCAGCTCACTGTAACCTCTGCCTCTGGGGTTCAAGCAATTCTCCTGCCTCAGTTTCCTGAGTAACTGGGATTACAGGTGTGTGCCATTACGCCCAGTTAATTTTTGTATTTTTAGTAGAGATGGGGTTTCACTATGTTGGCCAGGCTGGTGTTGAACTCCTGACTTCAAGTGATCTGCCCGCCTTGGTCTCCCAAAGTGCTGAGATTACAGGCATGAGACAGCGCCCGGCCCCTTCTCTTTTTTGTCTGGGCTTTGTGGAAAGTCTGCGAGATTTAGGTCTAGGATAGGAGAGAGAGATGCTTCCAGGGAGGGAGACAGTGTAAGGAAGCTATGGAGAAGCAGCTGATGATGTGGTGAGATAAAAGTCTGCGTCAAGGAAATAATCCCAAGGATGCTGAAAAAAGGAAGGAAGGCAGACAAGGAGGAATGAAAAGAGGAGAAAGATAGGCAAAAATAAAGCAAGAGAGAAGAAAAAGAAGAGAGATAGAAAGATAAAAAGACAACAAGATAATGCCTGCTGTGGTGGTGCCTGTTGTCCCAGCTACTCTAGAGACTGAGGTAGGAGGATCACTTGAGCCCAGGAGTTCGAGGCTGTAGAGTGCCATGATCCTGCCTGTGAATAGCCACCATACTCTGGCCTGGGCAACGTAATGAGACCTCCTGTCTAAAAAAAAAAAGAAAAAGAAAAAAGATAAATAGATACAGACAAAAAGAAAGGAAGGAAATAGGCAGGAGGAAAGTAATCTGCCCTTCCAAACCACTGTGGATAAAACAGTGCCCTTTGGAAGCCCTTACACTATTGACATTTGGGCCAGATAGTTCTTTGCTGTGGTGGGCTGTCCTATGCATTGTAGGATGTTGAATAGCATTCTTTTTTTTTTTTGAGACGGAGTCTCGCCCTGTTGCCCAGGCTGGAGTGCCATGGCGCGATCTCAGCTCACTGAAACCTCTGCCTCCCGGGTTCAAGTGATTCTCCCGCCTCAGTCTCCTGAGTAGCTAGGACTACAGGCATGCGCCAACACACCTGGCTAATTTTTGTATTTTTAGTAGAGACGAGGTTTCATCATGCTGGCCAGGGTGGTCTCGAACTCCTGACCTCAGGTGATCCACCCACCTTGGCCTCCTAAAGTGTTGGGATTACAGGCGTGAGCCACCGTGCCCAGCCAACATTTTTTTTTGAGACGGAGTCTTGCTCTGTAGCCCAGACTGGAGTGCAGTGGTACAGTGGCACGATCTCGGCTCACTGCAACCTCCACCTCCCAGGTTCAAGAGATTCTTGTGCCTCAGCCTCCTGAGAAGCTGGGATTACAGGCATGTACCACCATGGCCGGCTAATTTTAGTAGAGATGAGGTTTCACCATGTTGGCCAGGCTGGTCTCAAACTCCTGACCTCAGATGATCCGCCCACCTCAACCTCCCAAAGTGCTGGGATTACAGGCATAATCCCTGCGCTCAAATCCCTCCTGAGTAGCTGGGATTACAGGCATAATCCCTGCGATCAACTGCGCTCACCCATCATCCTTGGCCTTTATTCATTAGATGATAGTAGCACACCCCATCCTAACACTCTGGCCTTGTAACAAACAAAAATGCTTTCAGACATTGCTAAATGTTCCCTGGATAAAATCACCCCTCATGGTAAACTACTGCCTTAGAGCTGGTGAAAAGGAAATCTTTCACAAATGTGAAATAAGCATGAGGCTCACACTCTTTACACCAGAAAGAACCCTACCATCCACAGAGGGCCGCACAGAGGGATCATGGGCCCGGCACTCATCAATGATCTCCCGCAGCTCTGAAGGGCAGTCTTCACCCAGCGGCTCCTGCTGCCGCTTCACAGCCACCAGCTCGTAGATCTTCTCAGAATTACAGCCTGGAAATGATAGCATGAGAGCCTTAAAAAACTACTCCGGTACTCGTACATCTCTCTGGATGCTGATGGCTGGCATCAGAACTAGGGACTCTGAGTATGGAAACAACAAGAGCTTCCAACGATTCCACTGACCAGCCCAGGCAGTTCCAACATTAAACAACAAATTGCCAGGGGCAGCACTGATGGGGAGTTTCTGGTCTATTGGCAGGGGACCCAACCCCAGCACTGGCTGAGCCAGCCTTCACCTTCTTCACCTTCAAACGGGATCCTTCCAGTGACAATTTCCCAGAGGACGATTCCAAAGCTAAAAGAAAACCAAGAAACTGAACAACCATAACTAGTCTCCCCTTTCCCCTGTCCCTCTAGCCACTGCCAGAAAACTCAGTGAATTTTTTGATTACTACCCAATTTCATTCAACAGAGTTGAGTTTAGGTGGTCCTTGGAGGAGTTTGATTTGGGTTTTCCTATCATGCACATCTGAGTTAGAATCTGTACCAGAACATGAATGTACCTGTATATTTCAGACTTTACGTCATATCGATGATATATATCTTCCAGTTTCTGAGGTGAGATATATGCTGTAGATTTGACTCTGTCTGTCTTTTCTCTCTTAGTTTTCAAACTGATGGAAGTCTGTGTTTTCCTCAACTCAAATCCTGCAAGCTAGACAGAGAGGCAACTTAGAGATAGAAAGAAACAAGCAAGATCTTGGGTAGAGGAGTAAAGGGCAGGGATTATTGCTACACACAGTTGCCAGGGAATTGTCTTTTACCTTAGGGATTTATTTCCTGTAGTGACTTCTGTCTGTGTGGCTACTCTATTGGTTAACATTATGGGTTCAACTTAACATAGTGCAGTGACCAAGAGAAACACAAAGAGATTTCTTCTCTATAAAATGGGGTGATGACAGGGGGGATTACTTGAGATAATGGTTATAAAGCACCGGTAAGACCTGCTAAGTTGTAGTTGTTGCTAGTATGACTATGTTAAAATATAGGGTTTTCTCAGTTGAGGACTGAACTCCACTCAGTGAGAGTGGAGAGGGGTCGTAGAGCCACTGCCTGGCTCACCTTTTCCCAGAGAAGCAGATGGAAAAATGGCATGGGGGCATTCCCTCTGTACTATCTGACCCTATGGGGGGTCAGCCTGATCCTTCGGCTTTGGTGTGACGAGTGTGAGTCATCCCCCCAGCCCTGCATGGTCACGTGGTGTTCTTAAAGAAACCATAGCACAATCAGTGAGAGCGTATGTTCTTGTCCTATACACACCTGCCATTGACACCATTGGTGTGCAGAAGGCTGCCAGCCCCAAACTCAGCCAGGTACCATGTAGGCAATGTGAGAAAAGGGATAAGGCACTTAGATGGCTCATCCACCTTTCATTCATTCATTCATTCATTCACTCACTTGCTCACACATTTCCTGAGCACCAACATTCTCTGACATCTAGCGCCATATGGGATACCAGGGGTGAAAGGCGGAATAGCGCATCTAATAGTCAGGCTGGATGAAGAGCGTGAGAGTGGTGGACACAGTGTTTTGGGAGCACTTATGTGACCATTGCAGAGGGGGAAAGACATTTGAAAGGCAAAAAAGGCCTGTCTGCTGTTAATTGAGGGCTGTCTCTGACACTCATAAGACTGGAAGAGCCGGGCGCGGTGGCTCACGCTTGTAATTCCAGCACTTTGGGAGGGCGAGGCAGGTGGATCACCTGAGGTCGGGAGTTCAAGACCAGCCTGACCAACATGGAGAAACCCTGTCTCTACTAAAAATACAAAATTAGCCGGCGTAGTGGCACATGCCTGTAATCCCAGCTACTCGGGGGGCTGAGGCAGGAGAATCGCTTGAACCCGGGAGGCAGAGGTTGCGGTGAGCTGAGATCGCGCCATTCACTCCAGCCTGGGCAAAAAGAGCGAAACTCTGTCTCAAAAAAAAAAAAAAAGACTGGAAGAAAGAAAACCAGCCATGGATGACAAAGGTAGACTGTCACCTATGGCCCTTAGTAATGTTGCTGATGATAAAAATAAAAATGACTGCTGATTGTTAGGTAGCTTCTGGGCAGGACCAAGGGGGTAAGTGGACTACACAGTAAACAGCTGATGGGAATGCTTTGTAGCAATTTTTTCTTTTTTGCTTTTTGAGACAGGGTCTCATTCTGTTGCCCAGTCTAGGGTGCAGTGGCGTAAACATAGCTCACTGCAGCCTTGATCTCCTGGGCTCCAGCCATCCTCCTCCTGCCTCACTCTCCTGACTAGCTGGAATTACAGGTGTGCACAACCATGACTGGCTGATTTTTAAATTTTTTGAAGAGGGGGAGGTCTCACTGTGTAGCCCAGGCTGGTCTTGAACCCCTGGGCTCAAGTGATCCTCCTGCCTTCCCTTCCAAAGTGTGGGGATTACAGGCATAAGCCACCATGCCCGGCCATGTAGCAGCTCTTTTCTTCTTTTTTTTTTTTTGGAGACGGAGTTTTGTTCGTGTTGCCCGGACTGGAGTGCAATGGCGCAATCTAGGCTCACTGCAAACCTCCGCTTCCTGGGTTCAAGCAATTCTCCTGCCTCAGCCTCCTTAGGAGCTGGGATTACAGGCATCTGCCACCACGGCCGCTAATTTTTTGTATTTTTAGTAGAGATGGAGTTTCACTACGTTGGCCAGGCTGGTCTTGAACTCCTGACCTCAGGCCATCCACCTGCCTTAGCCTACCAAAGTGTTGGGATTACAGGCGTGAGCCACCATGCCCAGATGTGGCAGCTCTTAAAACAGCAACTGACATGTCCCTTGCAGAAACACTGGAAGGCCTGCCTGCAGAGTTGTTATCAGAGATGCTGACTCCTGCAGGTCATGGGCTTCTAAGCCTGGATGACCCACACGCACCTAATGGGAGCTGCTTTCTCCAGCACCTGTGGCTCTGACAAAGCAAGTATCTCCTGGATGACTGCGAGGACTCACCCTGGAGGGAAAGGTTTGGCACTGCTGACACTGTGTTTTCTGCAGGACATCCTTCTAAGTAACTGAATGACAAGTGTGGCCTAGACCTGTCCTGTGAGTCTGAGTCCTTAGACCTAAGAAGATCCCCCGTTGTGTGTTGCAGGGACACAGAAGTGGTGTCCAGGCATCTAAGGGGAAATGACTTTTAGCCCATCCCTGCTAAATGGGCAGTGAGGGAAGGCAGTCATCAGAACAGGAGGCATAGATAGAGTCTGTTGTGTGGTGGGCACACAGAATGTTGAACTTAGTTCTGAAACTAAAATTGAACTCAGTTCTAAAAATAAGGCAAGCCCGGGCATGGTGGCTCATGCCTGTAATCTCAGCACTTTGGGAGGCTGAGGTGGGCGGATCACTTCAGGCCAGGAGTTCAAAACCAACCTGGCCAACACGGTGAAACCCTCTCTCTACTAAAAATGCAAAAATTAGTCAGGAGTGGTGGTGCTTGACTGTAATCTCGGCTACCTGGGAGGCTGAGGCAGGAGAATCGCTTGGACCTGGGAAGCAGAGGTTGCAGTGGGGCAATCTCGCTTACTGCACTCTAGCCTGGGTGACAGAAAGAGACTTGTCTCTAAATAAATAAATTCATAAATAAACTAAGGCAAAAATCAAGCCTTTCTGAGACATTCGTGCCCCTCTCCTAGCACCAGTCATGCAGGTTTGACCCAAAGCATCCTATGGAGGGCACACTCACCTTCACTTGATAGCCTTGAGTTACCAGGAAGTTTGAGCTTCTGATTTTTCCGTGGAGTTCAGGTTCTTCTGAATGGTGTAGCCTGACACAGCCAAAGGCAGGGAGCATTAGTGACCTTTGCCCAAACTTTCTTGGGGGGACTGACAATCATGACTGGGCTAATGAGGCTGGACAGTACCATGGGTGCCTGTCCACGGAGAGACGCGAAAAACTGGGATGCAGAGGCAAGGTTTGAGAATCGCAAGCTGCGAGTATAGAGCAGAGATGAGATTCATAGCACAAGGGGGCATGACAGCCCTTGTGAAGTGCATGCAGTCTGGCATCAGGGGTGCCTTTAGGTAGAGAAGGACAAAGGTGCCTCTGTGTTGCTTTGCCTGGGAAGTGCTGGGCAGATCCGAGTGCTCAGAGGCATGGCTGGGTGGCTGGACCTTGCTGGGATCCTTCAGGTCAAAACAGAATGTGGAGCTGGGGTCCCACTGACTTCCAGACAAGGGTTTTGGTTTCACAAAGCCCCTGTGTCTCAGGTTGGGTTGTGGTCATGGTGTCTGCCTGAGCTCAGATTCTCCCAGAAGCAGATCATGAGCCATGGTTTGCGTACGAGGGATTGTATCAAGAAGGTGCTCCCTTGGCCAGGCACGGTGGCTCATGCCTGTAATCCCACACTTTGGGAGACCAAGGTGGATGGATCACTTGAGGTCAGGAGTTTGAGACCAGCCTGGCCAACGTGGTGAAACCCCGTCTCTACTATTAATAAAACTACAAAAAATTAGCTGGGCATGGCGGCATGCGCCTGTAATCCTAGCTACTCGGGAGGCTGAGGCAGGAAAATTGCTTGCACCCAGGAGCTGGAGGTTGCAGTGAGCCAAGATCATGCCACTGCACTCCAACCTGGGCGACAAAGTGAGACTCTGTCCCAAAAAGAAACTCCCAAAGTCCCTCAAACAAACGAAAAGAAGGTGCTCCCAGGAGAAACGGTGAGGGAGTAGAGGAAGCAGGATGGGGAAAGAGAATAAATCAAGCAAGAGGTTGATTTCAGGTGAAATCCCAGGCTCAGGTGGTCTCATGGAGACCTGTGGGCACAATTACAACTCAGAGCATGTCCCACAGGAGGCAAAGGAATTGGACTTTTGCATTCACACCAGTCAGTGGTTATGGATTGTGTTGGGGAGGCCAGGGACAGATGGATATAAAACTCGTGAGCACTTTCAGCTGTCTATAAGGGTGAAAGAGCTCCAGTGCCCACAGGCAATCCTCTGAAGATTACAGCTGTTAACTTTTAGTAGCAAAGCGAGCCGAGAGGGGGATGGGTATATAGAGCTAGTAAAAAGGATCAGAGGTCATTTGGAGGGGATATTAAGAGTGTCCCCTATAACATCCAAAAATATTTCTCCTTAAACTCACTAGTTAGGGAGTTGAGAAGAAACAAACTTGATAATTTCAAATTAATAGCTAAGACAGTGTTTCCAAAAGTATGGGATAAGGTGGTATGCAAGATTATATAAAGGGAAAATTACTCTCCTTTCAATTTGCTCCAATCTTTTGATTACATCAAGGAGAAAGTTGGGGTTTGGTGGTTTTTTTTTTTTTTTTTTTGAGACAGAGTCTTACTCTGTTGCTGGACTGGAGTGCAGTGGCGTGATCTCGGCTCACTGCAACCTCTGCCTCCCAGGTTCAGGTGGTTCTCCTGTCTCAGCCTCCTGAGTAGTTGGGACTACAGGCACCTGCTACCATGCCCAGCTAATTTTTGTATTTTTAGGAGAGACAAGGTTTCACCATGTTGGGCAGGATGGTCTTGATCTCCTGACCTCATGATCTACCTGCCTCAGCCTCCCAAAGTGCTAGGATTACAGGCGTGAGCTACTGCGCCCGGCCTTGGAGTTGGGTATCCTTAACACTTGTCTAACTCTGCCAGTATCTCCATTGTACAAAGAGAATGTGGGTTGGACCACAGAACTTCTGGCAGGCAGCCTCATCCAGCCAGAATTTAATTACATTGTTTTGGTTTCATTTGTGGTTACCTATTTTTGGCAAGTGATATGGTTTTCAATTTATGGCAGTAATAGAAAGTGTCCTTTTTAAAAACTTTATTTCAATTTTTTTTTTTTTTGAGATGGAGTCTTGCTTTGTCGCCCAGGCTGGAGTGCAGTGGTATATTAGTTCACTGAAACCTCCTCCTCCTGGGTTCAAGTGATTCTTGTACTTCAAGCCTCCTGAGTAGTGGGGATTACAGGCCTGTGGCACCATGCTGGGCTATTTTCTGTATTTTTAGTAGAAACGGGGTTTCACCATGTTGGCCAGGCTGGTCTCGAACTCCTGACCTCAAGTGATCCACCCGCCTCGGCCTCTCAAAGTTCTGGGATTACAGGCATGAGCCACCGCGCCTGGCCTTTATTTGGATTTTTTAAAAGTGAGTCAATGTAATGAAAAATGTTAAGTAAATAACACTGGTAGTAGTATAGTTAAAACCCTGCAGGTGGTTTGCGAGGGACTAACCTTTGGGGACCCTTGGGATTAAGAATCCATAGATTCTGCAGGTGAGAATAGGTAGAGTTGCCAAATAAAACACAAGACACTCCATTAAATTTGAGTTTCTGATAAGCAATTAACATACATATTCATGTACTAATATATATATATGCCCACAAATTGTATATGACATACTTGTACTAAAAAGAAATGTGACCGGGCGTGGCGGCTCACGCCTGTAATCCCAGCACTTTGGGAGGCCGAGGCAGGCACATCACAAGGTCATGAGATCGAGACCATCCTGGCTAACACGGTGAAAACCCGTCTCTACTAAAAATACAAAAAAATTAGCCAGGCGTGGTGGCTATTTTGTAGCCTGTAGTCCCAGCTACTGAGGAGGCTGAGGCAGGAGAACGGAATGAACCCGGGAGGTGGAGCTTGCAGTAAGCCAAGATTGCGCCACTGCACTCCAGCCTGGGCAACAAAGCGAGACTCCGTCTCAAAAGAAAAAAAAAGAAATGTGTATCCAAAATTTGGGACTGGGTGCAGTGACTCATGCCTGTAATCCCAGCACTTTGGAAAGCTGGGGCAGGAGGATTGCTTGAGCCCAGTAGTTCAAGACCAGCCTAGGCAGCATGGCAAAATCTTGTCTCTACAAAAAATATTAAGAAAAAAAATTGGCTGAGTGTAGTGCTGTGCGCCTATAGTCCTAGCTACTCAGGAGGCTAAGGTGGGAGAATCCCTGAGCTCGGGAGGTTGAGTGAGCTATGATCACATCGCTGCCCTCCAGCCTGGGCAAGAGAGTGAGACCCTGTCTCAAAACATAAAATAAAATAAAATTTGATATTTTTGATATTTAGTATAAGTATATACCATGCAATATTCAGGATGCACTTATACTAAAAAATGATTCATTACTTTCCTAACATTCAAATGTAACTGGATATGTTTACTTTTATGCTAAATCTGTCCACTCCAAAATTAGGGCTTATCCAACTCTTTAAGTGCAGTGTGTACATCAAATTCAACCGTCAGTTCTGGGAGCTGGTGTTCCCTGGGTTAAGCCTCCTTCCTCCCTCCTATCTGTAATCAAAGTAAATAGTAAAACAGTGTATGGGAGGGAAACTGGGGCTTCCGGCCTGCTCTCTCACCATCTCTGAGAGTATCAGAAGTGTGGACAGACCCGTCCAACCCTTAGTGGCGTCTTTTCACCCCGTCGTACCAGTACAGGCCTTGGGCTGCCCCCAGGACTAGGACGATGCGCTTGCTGAGTGTGAGGTCTTCTTCCCTATCCAACAGCTCCCTCAGGGTCCCAAGTTCACAGTACTCCATGACGATGGAGAATTGAGGTGGAGTCACTGGTGGAAAGAAGCCAGGCACTATGACGATCTGCCCTACTTGAAGCTTCCCCTGTCCTCAGCCCGCCTCTCCCAGCCTCAGTACAGATATAGACTGGCTCTGCTGTGAGTCCCATTTCTCCCCCAATTCTCAGCCCACAGTTTTGCTCCCCACCTCCTTGAACAGACCAAATATGCCCAGAATTCCCATCCTCTTATCCATAATACTTGGCTTGTCGTAATTCTACCTTAAAAAAAAAAAAATTGGCTGGGTGTGGTGGCTCACGCCTGTAATCCCAGCACTTTGGGAGACCGAGGTCAGGAGTTTGAGATCAGTCTGGCCTACATGGTGAAACCCTGTCTCTACTAAAAATACAAAAAGTAGCTGGGTGTGGTGGCAGGTGCCTGTAATCCCAGCTACTTGGGAGGCTGAGGCAGGAGAATCGCTTGAAGCTGCGAGGCAGAGGTTGCAGTGAACAGAGATCGTACCACTGCACTCCAGCCTGGGCAACAGAGCAAGACTCTGCCTCAAAAAAAAAAAAAAAAAAAATGTTCTGCCAGGCATGGTGACTCACGCCTGTAATCCCGGCTCTTTGGGAGGCTGAGGCGGGTGGATCACTTAAGGCCAGGAGTTTGAGACCAGACTGGCCAACGTGATGAAACCTCGTCTCTACGAAAAATGTAAAAATTAGCCAGGTGTGGTGGCACATGCCTGTAGTTGCAGCTACTAGGGAGGCTGAGGCAGGAGAATTGCTTGAACCTAGGAGGTGGAGGTTGCAGTGAGCAGATCGCACCACTGCACTCCAGCCTGAGAGACAGAGCGAAACTCTGTCTCAAAAAAAAAAAAAAAAAAATTATTTTTCTTTTTCTTTTTTTACTTCCGTCTCCTTTTCTTAGTTTAATTCTAAATTTTCTTGAGCAGTTATTTGGGGAATGTCTTCCTCACTCAGCTGGAAGCCCAAGAAGGCAGGAAATGTGTCTGTCTTGTTCACACGGTGCTTACAAGGAGCTTCGTACATCTGTGTGGGAGGAATGAGTGGGGTGCACATGGCAGGGGCAAGTGAGGACTCAGACAAGTAGTCGACATCCCCGTTCATGGGCCTGAGTTGCAAAACTGACATATGACTGGGCCAGGCACCTCAGCGGTCCCCAAGGAGAATAAACGTTGCTGAACGTTTGCCTTTATGTTTTATTTTTTAATTTTTTTAAGACAGAGTCTCGCTCTGTCACCCAGTCTGGAGTGCAGTGGCGTGATACCGGCTCACTGCAACCTCCACCTCCCAGGTTCATGCAATTCTCCTGCCTCAGCCTCCCGAGTAGCTGGGATTACAGGCACCCACCACCACACCCAGCTAATTTTTGTATTTTTAGTAGAGACAGGGTTTCCGCATGTTGGCCAGGCTGCTCTCGAACTCCTGACCTCAGATGATCCACCTGCCTCGGCCTCCCAAAGTGCTAGGATTACAGATGTGAGCCACCGCGCCTGACCTACGTTTGCCTTTAGACTGGGATTCCACACTTTGAAATCAAGTTGGCCTGAGGCTGTGGAGCAACTTCCAAAGGGGATAAGACAGGAGTTGCTCTGTCCGCTCTCTAGTCAAGAGCAGCAAAACATGACCAGCAGGAGGGGTCATTCCATGAGAGAAAATGCAGTCACGTTGAGGAAAAAAAAAAAAAAAAAAGGCCCGTCACATGAGGCTCTTGGTAAAGGGGTAATTTTTTTTTTTTTTTTTTTTACAGAGTCTCACTTTGTTGCTCTGACTGGAGTGCAGTGGCGCGATCTCAGCTCACTGCAACCTCCGCCTCCCGGGTTCAAGCAATTCTCCTGCCTCAGCCTCCCGAGTAGCTGGGACTACAGCCCGTGCCACCATACCCAGCTAATTTTTTGTATTTTTAGTAGAGACGGGGTTTCACCATGTTGGCCAGGATGGTCTCGAGCTCCTGACCTTGTGATCCACCTGCCTCGGCCTCCCAAAGTGCTGGGATTACAGGTATGAGCCACTGCAACCAGCCAGGTAAGTTAATTTTGCTTTTAGATTTGCTCTACAGTAATGATGACCAAGGGTGTTTTCCTTGTTTGGGTCAGACAGCTTTATAATTTATTTTTGTTTTTGTTTTTATTTTTTTTATTTTTTATTTTTTATTTTATTTTATTTTTTGAGATGGAGTCTCGCTCTGTCGCCCAGGCTGGAGTGCAGTGGCCGGATCTCAGCTCACTGCAAGCTCCACCTCCCAGGTTCACGCCATTCTCCTGCCTCAGCCTCCTGAGTAGCTGGGACTACAGGCGCCCGCCACCTCGCCCGGCTAGTTTTTTGTATATTTTAGTAGAGACAGGATTTCACCATGTTAGCCAGGATGGCCTCGATCTCCTGACCTCGTGATCCACCCATCTTGGCCTTGTTTTTATTTTTGAGACGGAGTCTTGCTCTGTTGCCCAGGCTGGAGTGCAATGGTGCACCCTCAGCTCACTGCAATCTCCGCTTCCCAGGTTCAAGCAATTCTCCCATCTCAGCCTCCCGAGTAGCTGGGACTACTGGTGGCTGCCACCAGACCCAGCTAATTTTTGTAGTTTTAGTAGATATGGGGTTTCACCATGTTGGCCAGGCTGGTCTTGAACTCCTGACCTCATATGACCTGCCCGTCTCGGCTTACCAAAGTGCCAGGATAATAGGTGTGAGCCACTGCACCTGGCAGCTTTATAATGTTTTAGAGCAACAAGATGCACCCCTCTTCCAGGCTGGCATCTAAACATGTACCCCCTTATTTCCCAGTGGGCTGAAAGGAGAAGATGTGGCCATGTTAGTGCAAACCAACCCTCAGCCTTCAGCGCTGCTCTCCTAAAAGAAGATGAGAACATGCATCTTGGGATGAAAAAAAAAATTAACATTGATAATAATCACACTTTGTAGATTCCACCCTTTGGGGTGTTCTTTAAAAAAAGTGCAACACATTGAAACACAGGAGGTATATTCCAGGCCATCCAAAGCTTGACCAATCCCAGAAGCATTCCTTACCTGTTTCATCAATGCAAATCCCGAATATACGCAGGATGTTGGGAGATTCAAATTTCTTCATGGTTTTGATCTCATCGTTGAAAGTCTGCCTCACTATTCTATGAGGATAAAGGGAGAAATCGGGATTTCAGAACTGGAAGGTTCCTTAAGAACATTCAATGTGGTGACTCTGTGTATGTGGGGGTGGGGGTATCAGCATCTCCTGGGGGTAAGAACTGGTGCCAGGATGAGCTCAGCTACTGATGACAACATGTAGAACCCCTCGGGTGCCTGTGGCAGCACAATTAGTCCCTCAGGGTCTGTGAGATATTAATGGGGCTTGCTAATATCTTTTCAGTAGTTAAAATACTCTGATGGAATTGTATTTTTATGACCTACAGGGCTTTCCTAGGCAAACTAAAAAGTCAAGCATTTGTTATTGTTTTTAGGCCGTAACCTGTTGTTTAGCATATACTCTGACAGATGGTAGTGTCTGTCTTTTTTTTTGTTTTTTAAATTGGAGACAGGGTCTTGCTCTGTCGCCCAGGCTGGAGTGCAGTGGTGCGATCTTGGCTCACTGCAGCCTCCACCTCCCAGGTTGAAGCGATTCTCATGCCTCAGCCACCTGAGTAGCTGGAACTGCAGGTGCATGCCACCATGCTCAGCTAATTTTTGTATTTTTTTTTTTTTTTGTAGAGACGTGGTTTCACCATGTTGGCCAGGCTGGTGTCAAACTCCTGGCCTCAAGTTATCTGCCCACCTCCGCCTCCCAAAGTGCTGAGATTACAGGTGTGAGTCACCATGCCCAGCCTATGATGAGTGTCTTTGATTAATAAAAATAAGGATATTTATTAAGTGAAATCTTATAACCAAAATTCCTTCCAAAACATGGGCCTTAAAAAATGTGAGCAGGTAAATTATTAAAGAGGATCACTGGAACCACCAACTCAATCCAATCTGTTCATTCACTCTGAGTCTTAGATTCAAAGGGTAAAGGAGGCTTGTCCAAGGTCTGTCAGAGAAACAGGGCAGGTTCAGAGCCTACAAAAATCAATTGTATTTCTATCTGCTAGCAATTAACAATCAAAAGATTAAATTAAAAATTGTCATTTCCAATAGCATAAAGAGAATAAAATACTTAGCAATAAATTTATAAAAGAAGTGCAAGTCTTACCCTGAAAATTTTGTACTTAAATTGTTGAAAGAATTTTGTTTTGGTTTGTTTGTTTGTTTGTTTGTTTTTTGAGACGGAGTCTCACTCTTGTTGCCCAGGCTGGAGTGCAATGGCGGGATCTCGGCCCACTGCAACCTCTGCCTCCCAGGTTCAAGCGATTCTCCTGCCTCAGCCTCCCAAGTAGCTGGGATTATAAACATCCGCCACCACGCCCAGCTAATTTTTGTATTTTTACTAGAGACGGGGTTTCACCATGTTGGCCAGACTAGTCTTGAACTCCTGACCTCAGGTGATCCTCCTGCCTCAGCCTCCCAAAGTGCTGGGATTATAGGCTTGAGTCACTGCACCTGGCAAGAAATTTTAAAAGATCTAAAGAAATAGAAAGACGTCCTATGTTCTTGAATAGGAAGACTTTGTATCATTAAGATGATAACATTTTCCAAATTGACCTACAGGTTCAGTGCAATCCTTACCCAATTTGTAGTTGGTTAAAAAAAAAAAAAAAAAGCAAAAACGAAAACAGAAATTGACAAGATATTCCTAAAATTTGTATGGAAATGAAAGGAATTCAGGATAGCCAAGACAGTCTTGCAAAAAAAAGAACAAAGCTGGAAGACTCATACTTCTCAACTTCAAACGTATCACAAGGCTACAATAATGAAAACAGTATAGTGCTATCATAAGACTAGACAAATAGATCAGTGGAATAGAATTGGGAGTCCAGAAGTAAAGTCATACAGATAAAGCCAGTTGATTTTTCACAGTTTTTTTTTTTTTTTTGGAACGTGCTCTGTCACCCAGGCTAGAGTGCAGTGGTACAATTTCTTCTCACTGCAACACCTGCCTCCTGGGTTCAAACGATTCTACTGCCTCAGCCTCCCAAGTAGCTGGGACTACAGGCACCTGCTACCACGCCTGGCTAATTTTTTGTATTTTTAGTAGAGATGGGGTTTCACTATGTTAGCCAGGATGGTCTTGATCTCCTGACCTGGTGATCTGCCCACCTTGGCCTCCTAAAGTGCTAGGATTACAGGCATGAGCCACTGTGCCCAGCCAACGCCCAGCTAATTTTTATATTTTTAGTAGAGATGGGGTTTCACTATGTTGGGTAGGCTGGTCTCGAACTCCTGAGCTCAAGTGATCCACCTGCCTCGGCCTCCCAAAGTGCTAGGATTACAAATGTGAGCTGCAGTGCCAGGCCAGCACAGTCTTTTAAACAAATGGTTCTGGCACATCTGGATATCAACATGCAGCAAAATGAAGTTGAATGACTACCTTATACAATACACCAAAATTAACTCAACATTGGAAACCTAAATATAAGAGCCAAAATTATAAACTCTTAGAAGAAAACACAGGAGGGCCAGGTGCAGTGGCTCAAGCCTATAACCCCAGCATTTGGGGAGGCCAAGGTGGGTGGATCACTTGAGGTTAGGAGTTTCAGACCAGCCTGGCCAACATGGCAAAACCCGTCACCACTGAAAATACAAAAATTAGCTGGGCATGTTGGCGCACGCCTGTAGTCCCAGCTACTCGGGAGGCTGAGGCATGAGAATTGCTTGAACCCAGGAGGTGGAGGTTGCGGTTGAGCTGATGTCACACCACTACACTCCAGCATGAGTGAAAGAGCAAGACTCTATGTCAAACAGAACAAAATAAACCCCCCCCCCAAACCTGTACATGAATGTACACAGAAACATTATTCATAATAATCAAAAAGTGGAAAAAACACAGGGTTCATTAACTGATCAATGGATAAATAAGATGTCCATACAACAGACTATCACTCAGCCATAAAAAGGAATGAAGAAATGATACTTGCTACAATATAGATGAACCTTGAAAATATCATGCTAAGTGAAAGAAGCCAGACTCAACAGATCACGTATTGTATTATTCCATTTACATTAAAGATTTGGAAAAGGCAAATCTATAGAGACAGAAGGTAGGAGTGTTGCCTGGGGCCCAAGATGGTGGTGATGGGGGTGAATGAGGAATGACTGCTAGTGGTATAGGGTTTCCCTCCTTCCCTCTCTCCCTCCCTCCCTCCCTTCCTTCCTTCTTCTTTTTTTTTTTTTCATTGGAGTCTTGTTCTGTCACCCAGGCTGGAGTGCACTGGCACAATCTCAGCTCACTGCAACCTTGGCCTCCAAGGTTCAAGTGATTCTCCTGCCTCAGCCTCCCAAGTAGCTGGAATTATAGGCTCACACCACCATGCCCAGCTAATTTTTGTATTTTTTGTAGAGACGGGGTTTCACCATGTTGGCCAGGCTGGTCTTGAACTCCTGACCTCAGGTGATCTGCCCGCCTTGGCCTCCCAAAGTGCTGGGATTACAGGTGTGAGCTACTGCACCCGGCCTGTAAATATACTTAAAGTCATTAAATTGTACATTTTAAATAGGTAAATCTTATGGTATGTAAAATATATCTCAATAAAACTGTTAAAAATACGGTCTCAATCAAAATCTTGATCGCATTTTGAGGAGTGTGATAAAACTTTCTTTGATATTTATTTAGCTAAGTCAACACGAAAAAGAAGAATCAGGAGGAAGTTCTTTACCAGATTCCAAAACTTACTGCAAAGTCACATGAAAAACACAGTAACAGTGTGTCATTGATACAGAAACAGACAAATTGATCAGTGGGAAAGATTAGAGAGATGAGAGTCAGATCCATGTCTATATAAAAACTGAATATACAATAAATATGGTACCACAAATCAACAAGGAAAAGACAGACCACTTAATAGATGGTATAGAGAAAACTGACTTACTATGTGGCTAAAAATAAAAGTTAGCCCTACATAATGTCACATACAAAGGTGGATTCTAGTAGGTGGATTAACGTGGATTAAAACCTAAATATAAAAAATAAAACTGTAAAGTTAAGAGAAGAAAATATAGAATGCCTTTAAGATCTAGAGGTGGGGAAGGGTACCTCCAGAGCACAAATAAAAATCTGCAATATCTAAAGCTGACAAGTGCTTGATTTCCACAATATACAAAGATCTACAAACAGACAAGACAAAAGCAGCAACCATGATGGAAAAAAGGGCAGAGGATATGAACAGGCAATCTATGGAAGAGAAAACCCAAATAGCTAAAACATGTAAATAAGGGCTTGAATTCATTAGTAAAAACAGAAATGCAAGTTCAAACAACTACAAGATATTGATCACTTTATAACTAGAAGGATGAAAGTAATTAGAAATCTGGATAACACTAAAGGTTGATGAGGTTGCTTGTGGGAGTGTAGGCATAGACACTCTGTTCTGAAGAGTTGCCTGGTAGTACTTAGTTACTTAATATACACATATCCTATGGCCCATCATTTTCTCTCCTGGTGCTATATCCCAAAGAATTCTCATACAGTTCCCTAAAGGGATACTTAGTATGGCACCTTTTTGATGGGGAGAAGTTGGAAGTTGACTGGATTTCATCACTGGAAAAAAAAAATAGACAAAATATATGGCTCATGCCTGTTATTCCAGCACTTTGGAAGGCTGAGGCAGGAGGCGCTTGAGTCCAGGAGTTCCAGACCAACCTGGGCAGCACAGTGGGACCCTGTCTCTACAAAAAATTTAAAAATTAGCCAAGCATGGTGGTGCACACTTGCTGTCCCAGCTACTTGGGAGGCTGAGGTGTGAGGATTGCTGGAGCTCGGGAGGTTAAGGCTGCAATGAGCTATGATCTCACCACTGCACTCCAGCCTGGACAACAGAGTGAGACCTTGTCTCAAAAAAAAATAAAAATAAAAATAAAAAATTGGCAAAATGGGGACCTTCACCATGGATGGCAGACAGAAATTAAGGAGTCCAAGTATGGAACATGTTTCATGATGTTGAGTGAGAAAAATGAGGAAAGGAGGTAACAGACACATAACTCTACCAGTTGTGAACAGGAAAAATGTATGCATACATTTTACAAGAACAGATACAAACAAAACACACTAGAATTACTGTCTGGGGAGGGGATGAGCAACTGGGAAACAGGGTTGGAAGAGAAAGTTTTTTGTTTTTTTTAAATATCTACATGAATAAAGGAGAGAAGACTAGAACTGAGGTGGAAAGATGTATTTAAGTCAAGACTGCTCTTTAATAGTGGAGAGCAGTCATTTAACCCTTTGAGGCCCAGGCTTCCTCATCTAAAAATGGAGACAATACCCCTCTCTCCCTGGAGAGTTACAGAGAATAAGTATTAGTACACACGAGAGAACCACACGAAACAACTTACGCAATGCTGCCAGCCTGGGGTTTGTTGAATACTTTTATGGTCACTGGAGCTCTGTGGTATTCTCCTTTATAAAGTGTGCTGACTTTATTTTCCCTTAGCAGAATCCACGGGGATCCTGAGAGCTGCTCCTTCTTGATCTCCTTGATTTGCTCTTGCGGGATCTGCATGCATTTTGGTAGTAAACCTGACCTCATCCCCAAGAGGAAAGACGATAAAAGAGTCAATGAGCAGAGGAAGGGGTCCTAAGGGAGGTGGCATCCTTGTGATGTGTGAGTGGGAAGCTCTACAACATGAACCAGAGCTGGTCGTCGCTGGGGCTTCTGATCGACTCAGCCTAAGGGAGCGGCTCCAATGCCTCTGAGTGACCAGTAGAGACACAGTTGGATAGTTAACAGAATGTGTCATCCACTTCCTTTCGCTCCTCTTCAAATCCCACCTGTCCCTCCAGCCTTAACCCTCATCCAGACTCGTCTATCTCATCCTGGAAGGATCGCTATTCCTGTTACCCAGAGCTTGGCATTTGAGCATCTGGCATCTGGTCTAGTCATTTCAGATCTAGTAGTTAGGGACATAGTTCAAGCTCAGTAACCTTGCTGTTGTGTGTTCACTGTCTGTCTTTCCTCTTTTCTCCTCTACCCCATGCGCTCCTGGAAGTCAGTGTCCTTCTCTGCATCTTAGTCCCCTCTTTGCATGGCTTCTGGCATAAAACAGATACAGTTTTGTTGAATGAATGAATGAGTGGGCATTTTAAATTTGATTTGAATTTTTTCTTGGAAATTCAGCAACCGAACTGAAGCTTTGATGCTATTCATAGAGATTTTTAAGCACTTTGACAGCTGTTAGAAGATATCTTACTGGTCAAGAAGCCGCCTCTGGATGTTATTCCGTGGACAGAAGCCTGGGCTAGCCATGAATGGATCCCCAAACCTGTGGGCTGCTTCCAGTCATCCAGCACAGAAAATGGACAAACGCAGGGGTAGGGGGAGGCTGGGGTCCCAGTAAACTGATGACTTCTAGTTTGGGGGCCATCAGAAACAGCAGGGCACATGAAAACTTACACTGCCTCAAAGTTTCCTTGATTTCTTTCATGTTGATTTCTAATCGTCTCAATGAAGCTTCTATTTCTTCATTATCTGCAGGAAAAAAGGGCAGTGAATGCTCAAAACAAATTAAAATCACATGCCAATCAAAACTAAAATGCTAATTAAAACTGTCGAGATATCATTTTTTACTTATCATATTCATTATGATGGGATTACTACTGATCACCAATATTCAGATTTCTACTTCTAAGCACATAGGAAATGCATTAAAGCATAGCTGGGTAACTCACTTTGGCTAAGAAATGAAGGAAAGAGATGTCTGTCACTTCCCAGAGGGAGCATTTAACTGACTCTGCATAAGGTTCCAACCTGGCTGCTTTGGAAGTGAAGAAAGTTTGTGTCAACAGAGGAGTGCTATACTATTGAAAGTATCCTAGAAGGAGGACATTCACCTTGGAGAGTCCCCTGGACTTTGCCTGAATGAGAAATAAACTTGTTTTTTTAGAAAACTGAGTTTTTTTTTTTTTTTTTTTTAAACTACAGCATAATCAAATCTATCCTGATTTATATACTCAGAAACATGTTTGAAAATTTACAACACACTATTTACAATGGTCAGCCACCCCTGTCTGCCCAGGACTGAGGAGTTCTGGGGACATGAAACCCTTACTACCAAAAGTGGGAAAGTCTCTTATGGGAAAAGTATAGAGAAGCAGATAACCTCATGCATCGTTGGTAGGAGTAATATCTGTGCAACTTCTATCAAAATTTAAAATGCTTATAGCCTTTGACCTAGTGATTTTACCTAATAATTCCACTTCTGGGAATTTCTCATAAAGATATCTTGAAATAGGCCAGGAGTGGTGGCTCATGACTGTAATCCTAGCACTTTGGGAGGCCGAGTCAGGCAGATCACTTGAGGTCAGGAGTTTGAGACCAGCCTGGTCAAACTGGTCAGTAGAGATGGTAAAACCCCGTCTCTACTAAAAATATAAAAGTAAGCGGGGTGTCATGGCACATGCCTGTAATCCCAACTACTCGGGTGGCTGAGGCACAAGAATTGCTTGAACCCAGGAGGCAGAGGTTGCAGTGAGCCAAGATTGTGCCACTGCTCTCCAGCCTGGGTGATAGAGCAAGACTCTGTCTCAAAAAAAAAAAAAAAAAAAAGAAAAAAAAAAAAAAAAAAAAGAAAGAAGAAAAGAAAAGAAAGAAAGAAAAGAAAAAAAAGTTCTGGTGATAGATGGTGGTGATGGTTTCAGAACCATGTGAATATACTTGATGCCACTGAATTGGCATCTAAAAATGGTTGAAATGGTAAATTTTATGTTATGTATATTTTATCACAAAAAATGGGAAAAAATGATGGGTGTATGTATTGGGTTGTTTTCGAATTTGTATGCTGCTGGTATGATCATACAACAAAACAAAACAGTAGGATAGATGCCAAGTAGGAAAACAAGCTATATAATTCTGTGGATATTTACATGGGAGATATTTAAAATTATTTAATGAGAAAAGAAGAAACAGAACAATGTGTTTGGTATGATGCTGACTGTGTGACAACAATAAAATATAAATACTTAAATCTCCAGAAGGGTATTCAAGAAACTGGTAGATTGTGTGATTGTATCTCACATTTTGATAATGGTTGCACAAATATCCTTCTACCAACAATGGATTAGATTATCAGTGTGTCTATATGGTTTCCATTAGACTTCCCCAGTTTCAGTACTGAAGGTCTCATGTCCTCAGAACGGGAAACGGGGCCCTCGAGGTCAAGGAGGGAGATTTACTTCTCATGCTGGCCCCCCTCCACCCTTTGGTTTTGGAGACAGAATCTCGCTCTGTCACCCAGACTGCAGAGCAGTGGAATAATCATGGCTCACTGCAGCCTCGACCTCCTAGGTGACTGTAATCCCAGCACTTTGGGAGGCTGAGGCAAGAGGATCACTTGAGGCCAGGAGTTCTACACCAGCCTGGGCAACATAGTGAGACTCTCTATCTGCAAAAAATAAAATAAAAATTAGCTGGGCATGGTGGCATGCACACCTATAGTCCCAGCCACTCCAGAGGCCGAGGTGGGAGGATCACTTGAGCCTGAGGCTACAGTGAGCTATGATTGTGCCACTGTCCTCCAGCCCATGCAAAAGAGACCCTGTCTCAAAAAATGAAACAAAACAAAAAACTCCTCCTCTACACTGACTTGCCCAAATTTCACCAGCCCTCACCGTATATCTGGGCCAAAGGATGTTAGGAGTTTTGAGCTACAAGTATGTTACAGCTGCTCAAACTTCATCCTTGCTGCTCCTTTGGTGAATTAAAGTGAGGCTAAAATGTGTTCAACTGCACTCCCACTCCCCACCAAAAACCGAACTTGCCCCTTCTTAGCATCTGGAAGGCTCGCCTGTCTTCGTCTGCATCCTGCTGATCTTCCTGTGCCCAGGACGCTCCTTGGCTTATGCGTGAAACAGGCATGCGTTGCTCAATCTGTAGTAACAGCGAGAGCTCCTTCCAGACATCATTCAGGTTCTTGTTCACATCCTTGAAGAGTATTTTGTCCTGGCTTGCTGTTAGAAACCTGCAGATATTGGATCTATTGCTGAATTTTTCTATCTCCTCATTAGCCTCCTCCAGGGCAGCCTTGAAGCGGTTCATGGCTGTGGTTAACTTCTCAGAGGGCACACTCCTCTTTCCTTGGTCCTGGAGCATCTCCAGAGACTCGACCAGGCCGAGGACGCGGTGGCCCAGGCGCCGGCACTGTTTCTTGCAGTATTTCATCTCTTCACACCGTTTGTGGATGACCTGGCCAAGGGTGATAATATGCTTCAAATTTTCCATTCCTGGAAGAAATGAATGTAATTTGGTGAAATCCCCAAATCTCCTGCATATTCACTACTTGGCTAAGAAAGAATCAAAGGGGTCTGTGATTTAAATGCCTGAGGAGGTCTCCCTAGCATTTTCATGCAAGATGGAGATGGTTTGCTGCCCACCAAAACCTGTTCTGCCCTCCTACAATAATAGAGTAGCTCGGAAGAGCTGGTCCAGCCAGAACTACATCTCCCAGCCTTCCTTGCAGCGTGATGTGGCCATGTGACTAGTTCTCACCAATGGGGTGTAAGTGCATGTGACCCGCTCTACTTCGGACTGGGGCAACTTTGCTGCCTCCACAGACTCTCCCTTTGCTGGCTGGCTCCGCGTGAAGAAGCGGCCCTAGGGGTGGTGGAGCCCCAAGAAGAGTCCTGAGTCCCTGGATCATCACTTGGAGAAGAGCTACCCACAGACCTGGAACGTCTGTCATGGACTGTTAAGTGATCAAGGAATAAACTTGTATTGCATGTAAATTTTCAGGTTGATATGTTTACATCAGTTTCGCCTATTACAAATATATCCTGCTAAAGCGTAGAGGTTTCAGGGGCCAGGCAGGTAATTCAAATGAGTGAAGTGAGCTGGGCTAGTCTTTACTGCCACAGATAAGTATGTTTCTTTCTCTTTTTCTTAAAACACGTGGACTGTCTATCTTTCATTTTTCCTACAAAAATTTGTTCAGTTTCTTCCTACAGTGCTTTAAGAAAAATGCAGCTGAGCGAGGTGGCTCCCACCGATAATCCCAGCACTTTGAGAGGAAGAGGCAGGAGGTTTGCTTGAGGCCAGGAGTTCCAGATCAGTCTGGACAGCAAAGTGAGACCCTTTCTCTAGAAAAATAAAAAATAAAATAAAATAAATAAAATATAAAATTGGCTGGGTGCAGTGGCTCATGCCTGTAATCCCAGCACTTTGGAAGGCTGAGGAGGGCAGATCACTTGAGGTCAGGAGTTGGAAACCAGCCTGGATGGTGAAACACCGTCTCTACTAAAAATACAAAAATTAGCTGGGTGTGGTGGTGCACGCCTGTAATTCCAGCTACTCGGAAGACTGAGTCAGAAGAATTGCTTGAACCCAGGGGGCAGAGGTTGTACTATCTCAAAAAAAAAGTAATATATTATATATATATAGTAATACATATATAATATTCCATATATAAAATATATATAATAAATTAACCTGGTGTGATGGCACACACCTGTAGTCTCAGCTGCCTGGGAAGTTGAGATAGGAGGATTTCTTGAGCCTAGGAGGTTGAGGCTGCAGTGCCAGCTTCCTACTCTCAACCTCTCTGTCTTCTCTGAACATGAGTGAGGAAGCACAGAGCCCTGATCCTAAAGCTTGGAATGAGGCTAACCTGAGCATGGTAGAATGGAAAGGGAGAAAGAATCTGAGTCCTTGATGAGAACATTGAGCCACTGGTTTGAACTGACACTGAAGTGTACCCCACCCACTAACTACAGGTTACGTGGACCAATGACCTCCCTGATTGTTTAAGGCAGTTTGAATCATGTTTGCTTTATTTACAACTAAAGCCAACTGTGTTCAGCAATGAATGATGATAATAATGATGATGCTAGATCTGTCAATTCACCCACTACATCCTAAGTGCTCTGGAACCCCCAGCTCTCCATGGTTATTTTCATTTAACAGATGGAGATACTGGCTGGGCATGGTAGTTCTTGCCTGTTATCCCAATATTTTGGGAGGTAGAGGTGGGAGGATTGCTTGAGGCCAGGAGTTCCAGACCATTCTGGGCAACACAGCGAGACCCATCTCTACTAAAAATACCAAAATTAGCTGGGACTACAGGTCCCAGCTACTCAGGAGGCTGAGGTGGGAGAATTGCTTGAGCCTAGGAGGTCAAGGCTGCAGTGAGCTAGGATGACACCACTGCACTCCAGCCTGGGAAACAGAGAGAGACCCTGTCTAGAAAAAACAAACAGGTGAAAAGTGAAGACGCTGTGGTTCAGGGAGGTTGCATTCAAATAATCACAAGGCCATGAAACCAGTTTCCAAAGTATTTAAAATAAAGTTAGGGTAGGGTGTGATGGCTCAAACCTGTAATCCCCTTTGTGAGGCTGAGGCCAGGGGATTGCATGAGCCTGAGTTCGAGACCAGCCTCGGCAACATGGTGAAACCCTGTCTCTAAAAAAAAATACAAAAATGTGCTGGGTGTGGTGGTGCTTGCCTGTAGTCCCAGCTACTCCAGAACCTGAGGAAGGAGAATTGATTGAGGCTGGGAGGTCAAGGCTGCAGTGAGCCATGACTGTGCCACTGACTCCATCCAGCCTGGACAACAAAATAAGACTGTGTCTCAAAAATACCACCACTACCACCAATAACAACGACAACAAAAAACAAAGTTAGTTTTGTTTTTTTTTTTTTGAGATAGAGTCTCGCCCTGTCACCCAGGCTGAAGTGCAGTGACACAATCGCGGCTCACTGCAACCTCCACCCCCTGGGTTCAAGCGATTCTTCTGCCTCAGCCTCCTGAGTAGCCGGAACCACAAGTGCCTGCCACTTCGCTTGGCTAATTTTTGTAGTTTTTAGTAGAGGCGGGGTTTCACCATGTTGGCCAGGCTGATCTTGAACTCCTGACCTCGTGATCCACCCGCCTCAGCCTCCCAAAGTGCTGGGATTACAGGTGTGAGCCACCACACCTGGCCTTTTTTTTTTTTTTTTTAACAGCTCAGTGAAAAAGGTAGGTTAAGTATTACCACCAGTTTATGGATTAAATAACAGCTTGGCCTGGAGCCCAAATATGGCTTTAAAAATTGAGTGAGGCACTGGCAGAAGTGAAACTAAATAAATGAGCAATTGATATATTTGCATTTTTGCTGCCTGAGAGTTACAGTGATTGGGCAAGGGAGGTAAGAGTTATTAGGGCACTCCTAAAAAGACTAGCGGATCTCAGACTACCCAGCTATTCCCACATGCTAAGCACGTATCTTCAAGGCTATGTCTTGGGAATTGTGAGGGCAAAGGGTTTTACACTTTCTCTGTTGCACCAGAAACAGAAGCACATGTGACAACGTTGTTCAAGGAATCTTGCAAATTTTAGCTTCCTAGCTCCAAGCTCCAGTTATCTTACTACCAGCCTCATCAGAAAGCCATATCTCAGCACTAACTAATCAGAAAGGAAAGTGGGGAAAATATTGCACCCATGGAAGTGACAAACAATTTAAAATAATTAATTATACAGTGGTGGCATGGTATGAAGAAAATTGTAGCGGGCGCAGTGGCTCACACCTGTAATCTCAGCACTTTGGGAGGCTGAAGCAGGTGGATCACCTGAAGTCGGGAGTTTGAGATCAGCCCAGCCAACATGGTGAAATTCCATCTCTACTAAAGATACTAAAATTAGCCGAGCATGGTAGCAGGTGCCTGTAATCCCAGCTACTAGGGAGGCTGAGGGAGGAGAATTGCTTGAACCCGGGAGGTGGAGGTTACACTGAGCCAAGATCATCCATCTCAAAAGAAAAAAAGAAAGAAAATTGCGCAAAACAAAGCTTGAAGAAAGGAGGAAAGAGAAGAAGTGTCATGTTTCTGGCTGGGAAGACTAAAATAGACCAACCCAGCAATCCTTCCCAAATTTAAATCCAATTTAATGCAGTTCCAATAAGACATCTAATGACATATTTTGGCATTGAAACAAAATGAAAAGTTCATTTGAAACAGGAAATTAGTAGGGATAACTAGGATTTTAAAAAATAAAGAAAAGGGGACTTGCCTGTATGACATTAAAATATATTAAAAACTGCAAAACATCGAGAAAAAAGCGCCCTACAATAACTTCAATTGTTTAAGGGCTTATTAAGTATATGTGCTCTAAGGGAAGAAAGGGAATATAAATATATACACACATAGACTGGGCAATTTGAATTTCTAGGAACTTATGATGCAGAAAGCTTGTGTGTGTAGATAGATGGCTACTAAGATGTTCACTGCAGTGCTATTTATAATATGTAAAACAAACAACTAAGAATATGTTCAGGCCAGCTGCAGTGGCTCACACCTGTAATCCCAGCACTTTAGGAGGGCGAGGTAGGAGGATCACCTGAGCCCAGGAGTTTGAAACCAGCCTGGGTGAAAAAGTGAGACCCTGGCTCTACGAAAAAATACAAAAAAAATTTAATTGGGTCTGGTGGTGTGCACCTTGTAGTCCTAGCTACTTGGGAGGATTTGGCGGGAGGATCACTTGAGCCCAGGAGTTTCGGAGGCTGCAGTGAGCTATGATTGTACCACTGCACTCCAGCCTGGGCAACAGAGGAAGACCCCATCTCTAATAATAAATACATAAAAAGAAAAAGGGGATTATGTTCATATGTTACGATGAGAAAACACGTTACTAATTTTAAAAGTGAAAAATCTTTAAATGGCAATAATTCAAATTCACCTCTTCCCTCCAAAAAATAAAAATAAAATAAAATAAATAAAGATTATCAGACATTTACCTCTTCCCCCTCTCTCTCTGTCTCTCTCGCCTTCAGCCTGCAAACCTGAAGGCTTCGTTTTTCTGAGAAGACATCAGGTTACTTGTTCTCGTGTCCCTGTCCTCCACGACCCCTACCGCTACTGGGCCTCTCGCTTTGGCAGAAGGTAGTGCGAGATCCGAGCAGGCAGCTCCACCCTCAGAGCCGAGGAAATGAAACCAACTCGGTCCTGAGTTCCAGGAATTCGGATCGGGCCACCTCACGCCCGGTTCTTCCCGTCACTGCCCAGGAATCCGGCTGCAGCCCCTCGGCCCCGCCGCCTCCTGGGGAGACCCCATGCTCACCTTCGTGCCTCCCCCGAGGATTGTGCGTCCAATCTGTCCCGTGCAGAGTTCCAAAAAGCTCGCTCTTCCGCCTTCTTTCCCACGACCGCCTCCTGCCCAGGCGAGAAGTCTGCAAACACGAGGCCCGCAGGAATTCCCCTGCACCCCCTTCCCTGGTGTCCGCGCCCTGCACTCCACTGGCCGTACCGGACACCACACGTGGCTGGCGGCGACAAGGAGCCCCGATCCTACCTGAGGGAAACCCCGGCCACTGCAGCTGCACTTGAGTAGGGTCCCTCCACTCAGCTACTTGGACGGCTGTTTCTGTCCTGTGCCCTCCGGAGGCCACCGCCTCAGGTCTGGGACGCCTGCAGGGAATGCTGCGACACTTCCCCCTCCGACCTGGCTCAGCTGCCAACCGCCAGGCTCACGGTGCCCAGGCTCCCTAGAGCCGCTTTCTAGGAAGCTCAGAACCACGAGCCCTCCCTTCCTCCTGCTATGCTCCTCCTGTCCTTTCCACACTCTCCCTGCCTTCCTTAAAGTCACTCTGTAACTACGCTGTACACGTCAGTGCCAGGCCTTCTTTCGGGGCTGGGGATTCAGAATAGAATAAGGTCCCAGCAACTACTATAACCAGGACACGGTGTGGGAAGGACTAGAAGTTTAGAGAAAACCTGCAAGTTGGAGAGGCGCTTCTGGTGTTTACTTCTCTGTGCTGGATAATATTGGCGGGGTGGGGAGGGTACTAGGGAAGAGACACCAAAATGGGAAAAAAAATCACTTCCTCCTTTAAGGTCATTGCAGAACATCCTGTTATAGTGTGAGTCAGGTTTTCTTAAGATTAACTACATCTTCAGCTAGAAAGTCTAAGTAGTGTCACGCATTTACTCAACAGACTATTTGCCTCTGAAAGAACAAAACTGGGGGCTGGGCGCAGTGGCTCATGCTTGTAATCCCAGCCCTTTGGGAGGCTGAGGTGGCCGGATGACCTGAGGTCAGGAGTTGGAGACTATCCTGGCCAACATGGGGAAACCCTGTCTCTACTAAAAATACAAAAATTAGCCGGACATGGTGGTGCATGCCTGTAGTCCCAGCTACTCCGGAGCCTGAGAGGGGAGAATCACTTGAACCGGGCTTTGGTGATTGTTCGCCCTGCTATTGTTCTTCCTCTCCTGAACCATCCGTTTTCTTCCTGTCTTAGGTGAAGAGATTCAGGTGAGGCAGGAGAATAGGGTCTGCAGGCAGGGAACATAAAGCTGATTCACGCTGACTTCCTAGAACTAAATAAAATGGAAACACTGCAGCTATGACAGGAAATATTTTCTTCATTTACATATGGTGTTCACTGAGTAAGTGACTTAGCAACTTAACTTCATCTTCTTCATTTACATAGGGTGTACACCAAGTAACCAATGGAAACCTCTAGAGGGTATTTAAACCCCAGAAAATTCTGTAATGGAGCTCTTGAGCCCCTATGCTCAGGCTGGCTCCCACCCTGTGGAGTGTACCTTTCTTTTCAATAAATCTCTGCTTTTGTTGCTTCGTTTTTTCCTTTCTTTGTTTGTGCCTATTGCCCAATTCTTTGTTCAAGACTCCAAGAACCTGGACACCTTCAACAGGTAACACAGGGGCATGTGATTTATTGAAGGAAGGCTCTCAGGAGAGCGGTGGGTAGGATAGCGCAGGGGAAGAAAAAGTGAAACAAGGATATAGTCAGTGGAGGTTCCATGGGGAGGTCTGGAACATGAAGCTCTGGAACAAGAGGCAGCCTCCTTTCTGCCAAAGGCAATCCTTCCAGATGAGGGGGAAGCTGTGTGAGTCTTTGGCTGTCAACATTCAGAGCAGCTGCAGGATGGGTATACTGATCTGCTATAAACAAAATCATACAATGTATAACCTTTTGGAATTTTTTTCTTTTCTTTTTTTTTTTTTTTTTTAACTGTACCACTATCAATGTACAAGACATTCAGTTTCTCTGCATCTGCAGCAGCATTTTGTTTTGTCCCTGTCTGGATTTTTAGCTATTCTAACAGCTGAATAGTGATATATCATCATGGTTTTTTGTTTTGTTTTGTTTTGAGATGGAGTCTCACTCTGTTGCCCAGGCTGGAGCACAGTGGCACCATCTCAGCTCACTGCAACCTTCACCTCCTGGGTTCAAGTAATTCTCCAGCCTCAGCCTCCCAAGTAGCTGGGACTACAGAAGTGCACCAGCACACCTGTCTATTTTTTGTATTTTTAGTAAGACAGGGGTTCACCATATTGGCCAGACTGGTCTTGAACTCCTGAGCTCAGGTAATCCACCCACCTTGGCCTCCCAAAATGCTGGGATTACAGGCGTGAGCCACCGTACCTGGCCTCATCATGGTTTTAATTGGCATTTCTTTAGTGCCTGGTGATGATGTACATGTCTTCGTGTGCTTGTTTGCCATCTGTTTAGCCTCATTGGTGAAATGTCTGTCCATGTCTTTTGCCCAGTTTTAGTTGAATTGTTTTTTAAAAACTTGAGTTTTGAGAGTTTAAATATTCTAGATATTAGTCCTTTGCCAGATATGTGGTGTTCAAATGGTGGTGGAGTAACTGAACAAAAAAATGAACTTCACCTAAACCTCATATTCTATGCAAAAATCGCCTGAATGGATCATAGATTTAAATGTAAAATGTAAAACAAGGAACCTTTTAGAAGAAAGCAGAGAGAACTGTGCAGAATTAAAAGACATTTCCTGTTGAGAAAGTGTCAGTGTTTGAAAAAAGTTTAAATGAGCCTTTAAAAATTTTTTTACTTTTAGTAGAGACAGGGGTCTCCCTGTGTTGCCCAGACTGATCTTGAACTTCTGAACTCAAGCAATCCTTATGCTTGGCCTCCCAAAGTGTTGGGATTATAAGCATGAGCCACCATGCCTGGCCAAATGAGTCTATTTAATTAGAATGGCTATTCATACTAAAAATTGTACAATATTGAAAATAATTTGGCTTTATCTTGGAGTTGCCATTTAAAAAAAAAACTCACAAAAATTAAAAACAAACGAACAAACAAACAAAACATGAAGTAGAACATGTAGAAGAAAATCTTCAGGACCTAAGGCTAGGAGAAGAATTCTTAGGCATGACACCAAAGATGTTATTTTTTTTTCCTTCTCCTTCTCCTTCTCCTTCTCCTTCTCCTTCTCCTTCTTCTTTCTTCTTCTTCTTTTTTTTGAGACAGAGTCTCCCTCTGTTGCCAGGATGGAGTACAGTGGCGTGACCTGAGCTTACTGAAACCCCCACCTCCAGGGCTCAAGCAATTCTCCTGTCTCAGCCTCCCAACAAGCTGGGGCTACAGGCATGTGCCACCACGCTCAGCTAATTTTTTTTTGTTTTTTAGTAGAGACGGGGTTTCAGCATGTTGGCCAGACTGGTCTCGAACTCCTGACCTCAAGTGATCCATCTGCCTTGGCCTCCCAAAGTGCTGCGATTACAGGCATGAACCACTGTGCCCAGCCCCAAAGCCATTATTCTTAAAATTAAAAAATGATGGCCGGGCGCGGTGGCTCACGCCTGTAATCCCAGCACTTTGGGAAGCCGAGGTGGGCAGATCACGAGGTCAGGAGATCGAGACCATCCTGGCTCACACGGTGAAACCCCGTCTCTACTAAAAAAATACAAAAAATTAGCCGGGCGTGGTGGCGGGCGCCTGTAGTCCCAGCTACTCGGGGAGGCTGAGGCAGGAGAATGGCATGAACCCAGGAGGCGGAACTTGCAGGGAGCTGAATCGTGCCACTGCACTGCAGCCTGGCGACAGGAGCGGCCGTCTTCAAAATAAATAAATAAATAAATAAATAAATAAATAATAACATCAGACTTTGATCAAAATTTGAAACTTTGTTTACTCTGCAAGGCCCTTTTAAGAGATGAAAAGACAGATTACGATTGGGAGAAAATATTTGCAAATCACATATGCAAAACAATACCGCTTCTAAATAACTCACGAGTCCAAGAGAAAATTTTCTCAAGGGACAATGAAGTGGACTAGTAATTATTGGCGCTTCAATACAATTTAAAGAGATCAAAACATTCACAAAGTATCTTGCTTTGACTACAATAGAATAAAACTAGGAAATAGTAACAGCGAAAGAGGAAGCTGTGAATATTCACAAAATATGTAGAATATTAAACAACATACACTTAAACAAACTAGGTGGTCAAAGAAGGAAATCACAAGGGAAAATTAGAAAACACTTAGAGACAATATAAAAGATAAAAGTACAAGCATACCAAAACACTTACAGGATGCAGCAAACAGGCAGTCCTCAGAAGGATAATTATAGTATAACATGGCTACAAAAGGAAAGAAAGAGAGAGGCCTGGCGACGGTGGCTCATGTTCTGTAATCCCAGCACTTTGGGAGCCGAGGCGGCGTGGATCTCTAAGGTAGGAGTTCAAGACCAGGCCTGCCAACATGGTGAAACCCCATCTCTACCAAAAATACATAAAAAAAAAAAAAAAAAAATCAGCCTTGGCGTGGTGGCTGGCGGGTGCCTGTAGAATCTCAGCTAGCCCGGGAGGGCTGAGGCAGGAGAATCACTTGAATCCAGGAGGCAGAGGTTTCAGTGAGCCAGATCGTGGCCACTGCACTCCCAGCCTGCGCACAGCGAGATCCCATGCTCCAAAAAACAAAAAGGGAGCAGAGTAAATCTCAAATCTATCTCAGACTCTAAGACTTTAAGGAACTAGAAAAAGAAGAGCAAACCAAATCAAAAACTAGCAGAAGGGAGGGAAATAATCAAGATCAGAAAAGAGAAAAGTCAATGAAACAGATACGTTCGAAAAGATTAATAAAATGACCCAATCTTTAGCTAAACTAAACAAGAAGAGAGAAGATGAAAATAAGGTAAATTTAAAATGAAAGTGGGGACCTTTACTATCTACTTTATTAGAAATTAAAAAGGACTAATGAGAGAAAACTATGAACAATTGTTTGCCAAGCCAATTAGATAACCAGAGGAGATGGACAATTCCCAGACACACAAAATTGACCTTAATTCACTTAATGAGAAAGATGAAAACGACCTACAACAAGGAAAGAAATTGAATTAATAATCAAAAACCGCCCGAACAAGAGAAAGTCCAGTTTTATATATAGTCTACGGTGATTTACCAATACTTTTTTCTTGGAGATCTTCGTATTTATTATGTGTATATTATATTTAATAGTTGGGTCATGGCAATGATTGTGCATGGTTGTTCATAGGGTATACACGTGTTCTCTACGGTGGTTTGCTGCACCCATAGCCCTTACTCTACCTTAGTATTTCTTCTAATGCTATCCCTCCCCTAGTCCTTCTCTCTACCCATCCAACAGGCCCTGGTGTGGATGTTCCCTTCCCTGTTGTTGGTGTGTTTCTCATTGTTCACTCCTAATCTTTAATGTGCGAGAACATGCTCTCTGTGTTTCTACAAACATTTAAAAAATAAATTAGCACCAATCATTCTCAAAACTTCCTTCCAAAAATAGGAGAGGGTTATGTGTATATCACTCCCCAACCATTAAGAAACCATGATGCATTACCGGTGGGCTTGTTTTCTAGATTGTGAGCTCAAGCCTTGTAATCCCAGCACTTTGGGAGGCCGAGACGGGCGGATCACGATCAGGAGATCGAACATCCTGTGGTAACACTGGGTGAACCCGTCTGCTACGTAAAAGAATACAAAAAACTAGACCGGGTGCTGGCGGGGCGCCTGTTGGTCTCAGTACTCGGAGGCTGAGCAGGAGTGAATT